TTGTAAGCCGCCCTGAGTCCCCTCAGGGAAAAGGGTGGCCTATAAATGTCCAATAAATACCAAATACCAAAGACACAGCCAAACCTCCGGATGACCTCAACGACTCTTTAAAAGAATGCAAATGACCAGATGTTTGCAAGGAATATAAATCCTTGCATTCCCCACTATCCAATGAGACCTGGAGAAGTTTCTTGGATGAGAATTGAAACGTCTTCAAAGAAAAATCAGAAGTCCAGTTGCCTCTTGAAAAAAACACCTTGCTACCTTTGAAGAGGGGAGCAATAACAGCACCCTTTCCATCATCAAACATATATTAACCATATACTTTAAAACTACCTTCTTTTTAGGTACATTAGATGCTACTTTGCTCTCATTAACATTTCTATAATTTTTATGTAGCTTTTTTTCATTCAGACCCATTTCACTTTATCAAATATCCCTTTCACATTTACTAGAAACTCCATAGACTATGGTACTTTTCAGCATTATTTTCACTCAGTTTCAAGCAGCTTCCACATTTTCCTTCCAGGTAGGTGAGAAATATCACTGATCTGCAAATGCGTATATGTAAGCTGACTCTAAGGGATGTTGGGAATGCTGCTACTATATCACTTCTCACAGCAATTGTATTCTGTTCTCTTCACTACCGGTTTGGTAGTGCGAGCACGCATGTCTGGGTATGCACAGAATCTTCTTCCAAAATTGTTGGCCATTAATAAGAGGCAGAATAATGGGCTTTAGAAAATGATAAAGACATATTAAGAGTATGATTCAAATTGCATATTAGAGTGTAATGAATTATACAAAAACAAACTTTATCAGGCTGATCTAAACTAGGAATCAACAAAGTTTTCACAAATATTACTTTCTCAAAGGCAGCTTCTTAGAGACTGACAGACTTCCTGCTGTACTTGATTTTAAAGTTTGTAATTTAAATTCATATTTATTGTTAGGGTGGAAATGATATTCTGCTAATTTTGAGGACTCTTAATGATTACTTTCTTTATGTTTTCCAGAACTGTGGTTTTGGTACATTGAATTCCTTTTGGTAGCTTAAAAAAAACTCTTGGGAGAATGTATTTACTTTGAAGTGGTTTGCTAGAAATGCTGTACTTCAAAAACAAATGAAATCAACGAAAGCATTGGACAAGTGACTCCTTATTGTATATAGAAAGCTCTCAATTTTGTATTCTAACATTGTTTCTTGTGTGCGATGTTGCTATGGTATCGAACAAATGAGTACGGATTTAGAGTATTCCTAAAGGGATGTCTGCTTCAACTGTATAATTTCTTTTTTAAGAAATCCAGCTGCAATGTCCTTTGATGCTATTTAGCGAAAGCTATAATCTGTTCGTATTGGAATTAATAGCAAGGTTTCCATTACTTGCATAGTAAGCAATAGAAGCAATTCTTATATATGTTAATGCATAAACATGTGGCCCACAAAATATTATAAAGATTATTTTTGTAGAATGTTTTCAGTGAAGATTTTTACTCATATCTCTCCTGTCTCTCTATTAAAGCATTCTCTCCTCCAAATTA